GACAGAGTGAGACTCCACCTCAAAAAAAAAAAAAAAAACAAAAACAAAAAACCCAGAAAACTTTAATATTTCACTTACTAATCAGAGTTTCATATCCTACCAGCTTTCTCCTACCTTAATTACCCCTTGATCTGCTTTCAAATCTCTTTGAAAAAATCTGAGATTCTGATTTCATCCTTTTAGGGAAGGAACAGAATTTTTTCAAAGTTTCCCAGGTGACTGCCACGCAACAAGCATAGAGAACACTGTATATTTCTTGATGGCTACATTTCCTTATACCCCTTTCTCTTTCCAGACAGTGCCCCATTAGAGGCCACCTGAAATATCTCTCAGCAACAACCTTAAATTCCCTGTTGCCCTATCCTTCTAAGACACTCATTAATTAGACCCAAACCCTAGATATCAAGCCCATTACACACTCCACATTACAGCTGAGCACTGCCATAGGAAGGTTTCAAACTAGGATTAATGATACTGCAATTTCTCACCAATTTTAGCTGGACCCACAACAATATTCTTTCTCTCTCGGACAGGTCTTTCTTTAGTTTCCCCCACTGTAATCCCCACTAAACTACTGTAAACGTTGACGAAGCAGTAAATGTGATTAATTTTATTAAATTTCTACTTTAAATATACACATTTCTAATATTCTATGTGACAAAATGAGAAATATAAATAAAGCACTTTCCCATATACCAAAGAACAATGATTACCTGTGAAAAAGCACTTGTGTGACTAAGCTGCAAGTTAAAAAAGCTGCAACTCTTTATTCAAGGAACACTATTTTTACTTGAAGTATAACTGACAGAAAAACTAGAGTTACACAGACTTGGATATTTGACAGACATTTTCTCAAAAATGAACCAATTAAACCTGTCATTTAGAGTAAAACAACAGACAGTATTTGCTGGCAATGATAAAACTTGAGCTTTCAAGTGAAGGTTTGAATTTTGGAAAACTCATAACTGCTATATGATCTTGATAGCATCCTAAAACTTGCAGTCTAATACTCTAATTTATAAGACAGTTCACAAAAATAAGAAAAGTTATTGTGTTTGGAAATACACAAGGCAACAGTTGATATACTGTTCAATAAATTACAGTGTCAAAATTTGACTTATCAAATTATTAAGAAAAAGAGAAATTTACTTGGGTGACGGTTGTCAAGGAAGGCTCTATATAAAATCTAGGTGGGGACTTGAAAACCTAGTAGAATCTAGCTTAGCAGAAAAAAGTGAGCAAGGCATCCTAGGAAGTTTGCAACATATATATATATTTAAGAGAATTACTATCTTCAGATATATTTAGTTACTATTTCATGATATAGTAATTCAAATTCTCAAGTTATATTTTAAGATCCTTAAAGGCAGAGGCCACATATTACAATTATTTGTTAGAGAGATTAGCACAGGGTCAAATTTAGTGTTGAACTATTTGCCTGGAAGAATAAGATTCATACAGAAAGAATAATAATAATGCAAGCCCAAGGTTAAATCCCAGCTCTGGAACTTAGCTAGGTTACCTTAATTAATTTAGTAAACCTCATAAATTCAAACTCAAATACACGTAGTTTGAGAATCACCCTATAAACATCGTAACTAAAAGTACCACAGATGCCGGGCTTGTAATCCCGCGCCTTTGGGAGGCTGAGGTGAGTGGATTGCCTGCGCCCGCGGGTTCGAGACCCGCCTGGACAGCGAGACCTCATCTCTACGATAAATCAAAAAATCAGCTGGGCGTGGTAGCGCATGCCTGTAATTCCGGCTACTTGGAAGGCTGAGGCGGAAGGATTGCCGGAGCCCAGCAGGTCGAGGCTGCGGTGGCCGGAAGCGGCCACTGCACTCCAGTCTGGGCGACAGAGTGAGACTCCAACTCAAAAAACAAACAAACAAACAAAAGTACCACAGATAATATATGACCAGAAAAGAAATGTGAATTTGTGTTCCTGTTTTTATGCTGACCTTGCTTTTATGTTATTTTCAAACAAACAACTGATTCTACTTTTTTTTACCTTAGCAAAAGGAATTTATGTATATAAGGAAGATGATACATATCGAAGACAAGTGTACTACTCAAATATTATCTTATTAATGTACAGTAGACAGATTTTTAAATATTTTCAGTATAGTACAGTTACCTATATTATTGACATTTAACCCATATCACTGTAATATCAGATATAATTCCAATGTATTTCTCCTCACATATTCTAAAATACTGCATTCTTTTTATTCCCATCTATTAACTTCACAGATTCCTTGAATCACCCTGATTTCATCTTTTCCTTTCTCTCCCTCCCTCCCTCCCTCTCTCTATCCCTCCATCTCTCTC